TGGGATTCCTCCGGGAAGAGAGAGAGGCCGAAGCAAGAAAACCCATCAGAGAAACCCAATAAAACATCACGCTCTGAACTAAACCCAGCCAAGTTGTATCTAGCTGACAAGAACAAGAAAAAAAAAAAATAAAAAAATTTAAAAATCCAATGGAGACGGTATTTCCAGGCCAGAATTACAGCCCTGGCTCCCCGTCCCCATCCTCTCTTACACCAGAAGTATTGGCAGGCTCCTGTTATAACCCAGTAATGGCCCATCAGCTCTCTCCCCAGGTTATAGATTAACTCCTGGTTCTCCTGAGACATCTGCCCTCCTCTCCCTCCCTCAGAGCCACCCCCAAAGCCCATCAGTTCCTCCAGGGGGGACCCCAGAGCACCCAGATACCGCAGCACCCATGGGGGTCCCGCAGCGAGCTCAGCCCCACACCCGGCTGGGAGAGACAGAGCTGTTTTCAGACAGATGTTGGAGGAAAATGAAGCCTGGAGGTAGAGGAGATGAAGCTGATTAAGCCTCATTATCCTATTAAGCGTGATGATGGCAGAGCCCAAAGGACATCACGCAGGAAAGAACAACGTGGTTAACAGAAGCACGTAGGGAGGTGGGCAGGCAGGTACCACCAGGCTGGTGGGCATCTCCCACTTTGCCACCTTCCCAGTCCCACCAGTATCCCACCTGAGAGCTCCCATTCTCTCGGAGGAGCATTTTGGGGCAGTGATCTAGAAAAAGGCAGGAGTGAGGGAGCTCCTGGAAGCCACAGCGTTAAGTGTGGATGCAGCATCCCACCCAAATCCCACCCATGTGTGGACTCCCCCAGCCTGCAGTACCATCAGGAGAGGCCCTGGGGACCCACCATCTCAAAGACAACACAGAATCACAGAATGATACGGGGTTGGAAGGGACCTCTGGAGATCATCCAGTCCAACCCCCTGCCAGAGCAGGGCCACCCAGAGCAGGTCCCACAGGAACGTGTCCAGGTGGGGTTTGAATGTCTCCAGAGAAGGAGACTCCACCACCTCCCTGGGCAGCCTCTGCCAGGGCTCTGCCACCCTCACAGCAAAGTTCCTCCTTGTGTTTAGGTGGAACTTCTTATATTCAAGTTTGTGCCCATTTCCTCTTGTCCTGTCCCTGGGCACCACTGAAAAAAGACCAGCCCCATCCTCCTGACACCCACCCTTGAAGTATTTCTAGGTGTTGATCAGTTCCCCCCCTCAGCCTCTCCTCATCAGAGAGATGCTCCAGGCCCCTCAGCATCACACACACATGAAGATTCAGGAGCAAAATCAGGCAGAGACTGTCTGAAAACCAGAGCCAGGGCTGGATGCATCCCCTGGACTCCTGTGGGATTCCTCCGGGAAGAGAGAGAGGCCGAAGCAAGAAAACCCATCAGAGAAACCCAATAAAACATCACGCTCTGAACTAAACCCAGCCAAGTCAGCAGAGCTGCAAGACACATTTGAAGGATGAGAATAATAATACTTAATTCCAGCATTCTTACACGTTAACAGTAGACCCAAAAATAGCTGCTCAGTGATCGGGGACCTACTGTGCTGAGCAGTATTTTTGAGTAAACTCTCCCTTAAAGGCTTCAGGTGTTGGCCCTAAATACCCTCAAATTCTTCAGTAAAGGCAACAGCATCTCATACACCCCCATCACCTGCCCCTCTGCACCCAGACACCTCCTCAAATACCAGCTGAAAGCCAAATTCTTATTTAAAAAGTAACCATAAGGTTAAATTAAGAGCGAAGGAAGGAGAGAAATTTGTTTCAGCATCACTGGGGAGGGACAGGACAGACGGGGCTGTTTGTTGGTGGTTTAAGATATTCCAGAAACTACAGAACATCCTGCTGCAGAAACATCTCCGTCACCTCCCCAGGCACCAACCCCAGGTACAGACACACTTTGGCTGAACACGATGTGCGAGGAGACAGCTGCCAAAACAAGGCAGAGACCCTATTTTTTTAAAAATTCTGGAGGTTTCTGCAGTGTTTTCACTCCCCAAATGCTCCCGAATGGTTTGCCATCCTCCACCAGCCGGACCAGCATCCGTCTCCTCCCTGAACTCAGCTCAAGGATGAACAAACACGTTAAAGGCTTCAACACGGGGAAAGAACAGCCAAAGATAAAGATGCAATAGAATAGATGTGTCTTTTGCGAGGAATTTAATGACTACAGCTGCTCGGCATCATTAACTGGTTTGTCTTGGAGGTTTTCACCCTCCCACCCTCGAGCAAACACCGGGGCAGCACCAGAGCCACCCGAGCTCCCTGGGGGGGGCTGTAGCTGGAGCCTCCCCAGGGAGCAGGGGTGATAAGGACTCCTTTAAAAGCTTAAAAGCTTTTACTACCTGTTGCTATCCAGCCAACCCAGCCTGGAGGAGCGCCAGCTCCCTGTGCAAAGAGCAGAGCTAAAAACAGATCCCTGGTCCGGGGACAGCGCGCCCTCGGTCTCACCAGCATCCCTTCCCTGCCTGACTTAAGTGGGTGGCTAAAAAAAAAACCTAAAAAAACCCAGCCCTGAGATTTTTTTTATGGGTTTAGGAAGAAGCAAGACTTTCAGAAGTGAAATGCAATGGTTTTAGCCTTGTCTGAGTGGCGCTGGCTCCTGAGAGAGACGTCTGGGCTCCAAGAAAAAAGGAGATGCATCTTGAGCCAGACTCCGTGGCCAGCACAGCCCGGGGGGGCTCAGCACTCAGCAGGCACTCGCTGATTTTTCATTTCAACGCATTCAGCTTCAACCTCCACCCTTGCTCCTTCCACAGCATCCCTCCTAAGCTCTGCCTGCCCCATCCTCTTCCTAAAGCATCCCAAAAATCCCACTCCCTGCCCGCTGCAGGGTGTGTGACCAGCCCAGGAGCCGTCACCACTGCCTCTGGCAGGGAGCACAGGAGCCCCCCATCCACCATCACCCTCCTGACCCTGCCTGAGCCACCTGGGGAGGGAACAAGGAGCATTTTACACTTGCCCAAGGTGGGTCCTGCCAGTTATCCAGCTGGAAGAGACCCTCCAGCACAAGGACACACACTTTTGTGGGAAATAAAACACACAGCAGCAGCATCCTCAGCCACGGGCTGCAAACCCTCTTCCAGCTCAGCATTAACACACACCCCAGCTACCACGGGTCCCCTGGGACACGAGCGTGGTGACACCGTGCAGAGCCCTGTCGAGACAGGGAAGGTGATGGCTCCTCTCCCCTCAGTACTTGGACTGGATTTAAAGCAAGATATAACGGTGTATTTTTCAAATCACAGAACGCTATGGGGTTGGAAGGGACCTCTGGAGATCATCTCCTCCAACCCCCTGCCAGAGCAGGGCCACCCAGAGCAGGTCCCACAGGAACGTGTCCAGGGGGGTTTGAATGTCTCCAGAGAAGGAGACTCCACCACCTCCCTGGGCAGCCTCTGCCAGGGCTCTGCCACCCTCACAGCAAAGAAGTTTCTCCTCATGTTTAGGTGGAACTTCTTACGTTCACATTTGTGCCCATTTCCTCTTGTCCTGTCCCTGGGCACCACTGAAAAAAGACTGGCCCCATCTTCCTGACACCCACCCTTGAAGTATTTATAGGTGTTGATCAGATCCCCCCTCAGCCTTCTCTTCTCCAGACTAAAAAGCCCCAAGTCCCTCAGCCTTTCCTCATCAGAGAGATGCTCCAGGCCCCTCATCATCTCTGTAGCCTCTGCTGTCCCCTCTCCAGCAGTTCCCTGTCCTTGAACTGGGGAGCCCAGAACTGGACCCAGTGCTCCAGATGGGGCCTCCCCAGGGCAGAGCAGAGGGGGAGGATGACCTCCCTCCACCTGCTGCTCACACTCTTCCTGATAAATATATATATAACAAAAAATAATATATATTAGTCTCGGAAGGAGCAGTGCATCCCCCTCATCACCGTGCCCACTGGCCACCCCTGTCACCCCTCCACCCCGCCCTTTGCAACCCAAGAATTCCCTTTCCCAACCACTCTTCCCTCCCTTGCCCGTGTCAAAAAGCAGTGGAGCCCGACGCCAGCCGTGGGGAAGAAGCAGTTTTCGTGGTGCAACTTGTTTGTTCACCCTGCGGGGAAGCACCAGCCCCGGGCAGCTGATCAAACACAGCCTGCCCCCAGCCCGCACCTTTAACCATCCCTGCCACAGCCAAGAGAAAAAGCAAAAAATAAAAATCAAGGTTTGATGGCAAGCAGCTTCCAAGGGCTCCGGCTGCCCCTGGCCCCCCACAAAGGGTTGGGGAGCCCCGAAAAGAGCCAGGGCAGGAGCAGGGAGAGCACACGGGGTAGGGGGGGTCAGGCTGTCAGCCCTCTGACGCCACTGTCCTTTCATTTATTTGTTCTTTACCCTAATGCATCCACTGGCACTGGAAGCGAATGGATGCATTTACACACCGTAATATCAAGCAATTTTCATCCTAACTGAGGCCGTTCCTGCTACAGGAGGCTCCAAAAGCTCAGCTGATGCTGAGGCCCCCCCCCCCCAGACACCAGAGTTACCGGTTGTGCCGCTCCTCAAATGGAAAACCCCACACTCCCAACCACACGTAATCCCCACTTCCATTAAAGTAACTAAAAAATTTAAGAAGCTCTCTGGAATTGTTTTGAGAATCTCTTTCCTAAGCTATGCTTGTGTTTTCAGCTGTTAAAAAAAAAATATATATCCAACAGCTTCCAATTTATTTATTTTTTTACTAATACTCTTAGATGGTAGGATGGTTCATTCAATTTTGAAATGCTCCGAGGGCTGGCAGCTCCACAAATTAAACCTCTGAGCTGAAACAGAAGGTCACACCTGAACTGCTCGCCAAGTGTTGCCGGCGAAAAGAACAAAAGCAGAAGCACGAAGCAAAAAAGGAAGAAAAAAAACCAGAGTGCAGACAGCCTGAAGCTGCAGACAGCGCTGGCAGAGCCACCCGGGGGCCTGGGGAAAACACCATTTTATTAAATTTGTGATAGGAACAGATTGGTGTCTGGCTTCTGGAGGGGAGAGCAGAAGCCCCCAGCCCAGTGAGACCCAACTTACCAGCGCTGGGAGGAGCAGGTCGGCCAAGTACACGAAAGCTGCTCCCAGGGTGAAGCCCACGGCCACCGGGAAGAAGGCGAAGGCTCCGAAGTCGCCGGATTCCTCGGCCATGTCGATAGCCGGGGCCAGCAGGGACCAGTAGGAAGCAGCCAGCATGACCTGGGAGAGAGAAGGGGAGCGGTGAGCACCACGGAGGCACCCATGCCACGAGGACCAACTACTGGCCACAGCACAGCAGCACTAGCCCACCCTCCGGCCAAGGAAACCCCCGTGCCCCGTCCCACAAGCCGTGTGGCCAGTAAAACCCAGCAGAGCCATGAAAACCAGCTTCCCAACGGAACAAATCACTGAAGGATGGAGAAATGAGGTTTTTTCCCCCTGTTTTCACCAGGAGCCTTTTTCTTGGCTCAAAAGCCTAAAGCAGCAAACAAACCGCACAAGCTCATTAGGGTGATTTTCCGTGGGATTAGCACAGCAGCAGGGTGGGAACAGGAAAAACGCCTTCTCCTCAGGGATTTTGCAGCAACAGGAGCAGGTCCGAGTGCTGCCTGGCCCCTACCCTGCTCCCCTGCATCCCAGCTGACGCCGGGATGAGCCCCATCCATCCCGCACCCAGCTCTGGGCTTCACAGAAGGAAAGAAACACAACCCTCATCAGGCAGGAAAAGAATAAATATTGGATGAGGCCCGGAGGCAAAGAGCCATCTCCAAGCCAGCCGAGGGCACGCCACGGGGCTGCCATGCAGATCCCAGCCCGCTGCGGTTTCGACGCCCAGCTCCCTGCCTCGCTGGCCCACACCACGGCAACCACAGCACCAGGGCTTTGTGACCCCGCTGCCTTCCTCCCACAGGGACCCACATTCAGTGCTCCTGCCCCACAGCCAAGCCAGAGCCCCCAGACTGGGAGGAGAACAAGTTCCCATCCCAAACAGCAACGCGCAAAGACCAGCGCTGCCAAAGTCCTGCCGGGGTGTTCCACCACCACAGTTTGCACCCAGAAAATAAACCTTTCAGGCAACAGTGCTGCTTTTTTTCCCTTGCTTGCTGCTTAGCAAGAAACAACCACCCAAAAGCCCACAGAAAAAACAGAATTTGGGACCTTGGGGGGGTCTGCATCCCAGCTGGGAGCAGGGCAGGCTGCAGAGCTGGTTGCTCAGTGTGTTCCCCCATGTAGGGAACAGAAAGCCAAGAGAGGCACCAGTTTCACAAGCTTATACTAAAGAACATAATATTACCCTGTATTTTATCACCTTATCTCTTCCTCTCCTCTGCTGCACGATGTACTGGGCCGGGTTAATTAAAAAGTCATCAGCCCAGCACAACACCAGCAGCCTTGGCCCTGGCTCCTCTCCCTGCAGCTGGTCAGCTCTGGGAGCTCAGCTGTGACCAGCTCTGGGGACTGGTCCCATCACATCATGCACTGGGAGGAAGAAAGTCAGCCAGATAAGCACAGATGGGCTTAAAAAAGAAATATAAAATCACAGTGGAGATCTGTGTTAGCCTTTGTGAGCCACCCTGTACCAAAGGCACCCACTGCCCTGCCATGGGGTGACAGGGTCCTCACCACCTCAGGATGGACAAGGTGATGCTCCCAGAGAAACACATCAAAGGGGAGCTTCCAATGGAAAAAGGCATCAGGATCCAGCAGGACGGAGCAAAGCAAGCCCGGAGGGACACAGAGAGAAAAAGTGACCCCAACTCTCCCTCCAGCAACTTCCCCGAGCTCCTCGCAAGGTCTCCTCTGCAGGATGCTCAGAAGAGCTGCCGCCCAGCTTGCTCTCACAGCACCAGGGCTCGCCCGCGGCAGAGGGGTGTGTAATGAACTATTAACATTTTAAATCACTTCTAACGAAGGAGCGAGATGCCTATTGCCGTAGACACCAGTCCCGGGGGGATTGTGTAAACCTCAGCTCGCGATGAGTAAGAAGAAAGCAGGCTGTCACGTCAGGCTGCACCACGGCTGTCAAACTTCATATTTCAAATGCCACCTCCTTTAAAAAAAAAAAAACAACCACACACCCCAACATGGAAACACAAGCAACGCGGAGAGGCTTTGCAGAATTATATTGTCATCTCGTGTTAAGATATCATTTCCCCACGGAAAACAGAGGCCTGACACCGCTCAGCCTCCAGATCCCGTTCACCACCGAAGGCAGTGGAGCTCCCACCAGGCTCCGGGGGCAGGAGATGACAGAGCCTTAACCCACCCCAGCCTCCCCAGGAGCAAACTGTGGGGCTGCACCCACCACCTGCACTTGCTCAGGAAGGGAAAGTCATTTATTCCCAAACCCTTTTATGCAGAGAAACCCCTGGACCTCACTTGGTGGAGGAGCTGGATCGCCCTGCAGCAGCCAGCAGAAGTGACAATGTCCCCCCCTGCACTCAGATATGGGGACATGGGCTTTGCCAAGGTCCCACCCAAGGGTGCTACCTCCTGCCCACCAGCTCCTGCCCACTCAGGGCGCTTCCCCGTCTGGTTCAGCAGCATCCCTTATCTGATGATGCTCAAGAACTAACAAAAGGGTGAGGATCTCTGCCAAGGAACTGATTTAAGTAACAAAAAAAAAATTAAAAAAAAATATATATAAAAAAATATCACTCACACACTCAATTACAAATCTTTGTCCTTGTCCAGCCAAGAACAGGAACTCAAACCCCACCGATGTCACTGAGCAAGCTGGCATCAACGGCAGGAATAAAAAGAGAAACAGCCTTGGCTCTCCTCAGATCAATAAAACACGAAGCCACTTCGGCAGAGGGTACAATTTTCTACACAAAGCCTTTTCCTCGCCCCAGCCAGGACGGGGAGAAGGACCCGCAGCGTGCCAGCTCGCTGGCACCGGGACACGCGCCTCCTGCCAAACGGGATTTGGACATTTTCCCCAAAAAGAGAGAGACTCGGTGCTCCAGAGCCAAGATGCATCAACACCGTAAATGCACCAGCTCTTGGGAAAACAAGCTGGGAGTCGATGGGGGAGGAGGAAGCGGGGAGAAGCATTATCTAAAGCATCCCTGGGCTGTGGGGAGCACAAACCCTTCTCTGGGATGGAACTGGAGACGAAACCCAGGCTCAAAACCCAAGTGCCTCGTGCCACGGAACAGGACTGAACCCAGGGCCGTGTCCTCAGGCTGATGGGAACCCCTCAAAACATGCAAGGCAGTGGGATTTATAACCACAGCGTGCCCCAGCACCGCTCCCAGGGCTCAGAGGGTCCCCATCGCTGGCACCAGCACCTCCTGCCAGGCAGGGACCTGGTGAGGTGTCCCCCTCCAAATGCTGGGGGGGCAACATTCGTCCCCATCCGGGCATCACCCCAGCAGGAGATCCCCAGGGCAGGAAAAGCAGAGGTCGAGAGACTGGCAGGACACTTTCCCAGCCAAACTTTTTCGTGTGACTTCATGAAGGCTCCGACAACAAGAACCAGGCTCAGCAGAGCCACGGAAATCACTGACGCCGTTTCAAGCAGCCCTGAAAGGGAATATTTGACACCAAACACGCCTGGTGGGTTTAAAGAGCGCGTCTTGATGATTTTCTGCTTCACCTGGGACAGAAGAATTTTCACTGAATTTCACTGAATTTCACTGAATTTCTAGAGTTGGAAGGGACCATAGAGATCATCTAGTCCAACTCCCCTGCTGAAGCAGGATTGCCCAGAGCTAGAAACTGGTACCCAGTAAGAGGAACAGCTGCAGGGAGGGAGGGCTGGGAGGGCTTCTGGTGTCTGAGAGCACAGCACCTCCGGGATAACACCGAGATAACGGAGAACATCTAAGAAAACTGTCTTATTTAAGAATATCGAGATTTAAGAGAAAAGCCAGAATTCCACATCAGATGCCCAAGCAAGAGGGTCCCCATCGCTGGCACCAGCACCTCCTGCCAGGCAGGGACCTGGTGAGGTGTCCCCCTCCAAATGCTGGGGGGGCAACATTCGTCCCCATCCGGGCATCACCCCAGCAGGAGATCCCCAGGGCAGGAAAAGCAGAGGGTGAGAGACTGGCAGGACACTTTCCCAGCCAAACTTTTTCGTGTGACTTCATGAAGGCTCCGACAACAAGAACCAGGCTCAGCAGAGCCACGGAAATCACTGACGCCGTTTCAAGCAGCCCTGAAAGGGAATATTTGACACCAAACACGCCTGGTGGGTTTAAAGAGCGCGTCTTGATGATTTTCTGCTTCACCTGGGACAGAAGAATTTTCACTGAATTTCACTGAATTTCACTGAATTTCTAGAGTTGGAAGGGACCATAGAGATCATCTAGTCCAACTCCCCTGCTGAAGCAGGATTGCCCAGAGCTAGAAACTGGTACCCAGTAAGAGGAACAGCTGCAGGGAGGGAGGGCTGGGAGCGTTTCTGGTGTCTGAGAGCACAGCACCTCCGGGATAACACCAAGATAACGGAGAACATCTAAGAAAACTGTCTTATTTAAGAATATCGAGATTTAAGAGAAAAGCCAGAATTCCACATCAGATGCCCAAGCAAGTGAAGCCTTGTCTCCATGGAAACACATCACCTCCGAGGCTTCCACACACAAAACCCTTCCATTATCCACGATTTCCAGAAAGGGAACTGAGGCAGAGAGAAGCTCAGACACCTGAGAGGAGGCACCGGGCTGGAAGAAGCTGAGCTCCATCACGCCACAGTGACCAGCCACACGGGTCCCCTCCACCCGAGGTGACACTTGTGCCACCAGATGTGGCAAAAGGGGCTTTCGCTTTGCACCCACAGGTCGCTCCCCCTTTCCCCGTGTGCCCAGGCTCACACCAGTCCCCCCAGATCACCACTTTCTGGACCCCAACCTAACCCTCTGCAGCCCAGACCATCCTCCTCGAGGTCACCTGGACCTCGAGGTCACCATGTCCTCCTCCTGGCTCAGCAGTAGCGGAGAAGTTTTTCGTTAATTCTGATTTTATTCTGTTTTGTGAGCTCCCCGAAGATGAGCAGGCAAGTAATTCCCAAAAAGAGAGAGAACAATCCATTATACCCAGTTTCACCAGGGATCCTGGTCTCGGAGAGCTCCATTTACACTCCCTGGAAGCCAGATGACCACCAGGGATCCTGAGCCAAGCACCAAACCAGTGAGGTTAGAAGCAACACCCGCCTCTGAAAGCGGAGGAACCGGGGCTTTGCTGGCTCTGACGGAGCACGAGAGAAGTTTAATTAAAGCTGACAGCCCAGATTTCAGAGCAGAGATAAAGGGGAAGTGAAGTTCTGCCTCCCCCTGCCCCAGCGCTCGGAGGAGCAGCCGCTTGGATCTGCGAGAGATCGACATCAAAGCCGGGGTGTTTTCAACAGAAACCCCTCAGAGGCAGAGATGCTCATGATGAGAGCAACGGCGCTGTCTGAAGAAACACTTATGGGGAGGAAGAGAGAGAGGGAACAGTACAAATAGGTTTCAAAACCAGCTGCTCCGCCTCCTGCCTCTTCCTCCCTCCCCAAGCAAAGCCAGCCCCGTAAAACCCAGGGAGCCCCAGCTTCCCCCAGCACAAAGGATGAGGCAGGAACGGCCCCTCATCCCAGCCAGGAGGATTTTCCAGCCCATCTGGGTTCTCTCTCCATCACTCCCCCCTTACAGCCCCCTGAGATCCAGCATCCCGTCCCACCTCCAGCATCCCAATCCCACCCACACGCAGGGACCCACAAGTTGGCCACGGTGCCTCCTGCCAAAGGGCCACCTCAGGAGACGGTTTCTCCTCCAGCTTCTCCGTGGACACTTCTCAAAGCCACCAAACACACACATCTCCAGCACTTTCCCTGTCTCCAGCCCTTGTAGGGGGATACACCAGCCCCTTGTGAGACACGAGGCAAAGATCTATGGGCACATCCAGAGCAAAGCAAGAAAAAAGGAAGATGAAAGATGTGACCTCTGGTGCTTTTGCCACCAAAAATCTCTGCCATCAAAGAGGGACCTGCTCCCATATAGCCCAGCAGCTCTTGGTGGCACAATGACCCATGGATCTCTGGCACCTTCCTCCAAAAGAGCTGGTCCTGGCCACGCAGCACCAGGGCAGGGCTGTGGGGACCCTGGGGGACACAAAGAGCTCACCCCAGTCAGCAGCTCCAGAAACACGACCTAGAAACCCTCACAAACTGCAGCTGGTGGGTGGCTTACGTGGCAGCACCTTCTGCCAGCGGGACCGTGGCCTTTCCTCAGTGACATTTCCCTGCAGACACTGCAGCAGCCCCAGAAAAAATTCCCCTTTCCCGCTCCGAGCGCAGGGAACAGAGAGAAGCTGGAAGGAAAAGCAGATGTTTGCAGGACTTCTGCTTCCCCGGCCGAGCCACACCTCGGGGTGACTCAGTGCTGCTGGCAGGGTGACACTGTGGCTACTGCAGGGTGACACAGTGGCCACGGCAGGGTGACACCGTGACGGGCCACCACCCGAGCCAGCAAACAGCCCACCGTGCCCCGGTACCTCCTCAGCTGGTCCTGGGGGCTGCTCCAGGAGACAACGGTGCCACGGGGAGGGGACAGCCAGCCCATGCTGTCCCCACCACCATCTCCCTGACACCACAGAAGTGGCTTTGCACGGATGAGGGGGTGTTTCCAGGAGGAAAACCACCCCAAAAAAATCAAACCACAGAGGAAAGAGCTGAAACGGGCAATTCCTAACGCGAGTGATCCCTTTATAAACAACAGCCCGAGAATCCACCACCCCAGAGGAGCTGGATTATTCCCAGCACCTGCAGGTCCCAGGGAGCGAACCAAGTTCTGTGGCACCTCACATCCCCCACCAGGACACATGACCTGGCAGGGCCCTGCACACCCACCACACACCCCAGGAAGAACCACCTTCCACCCAGAGCACACCCCTGGGGCTCTCGGGCACATCCCAGCACCTGAAGGAACACAAATGTGATTTAACGAGTTTAAATGAGCCTCCACCTGCTCCTCATCACCCCAGCAGCTAGGCAGCAGGAGGAGGTTTACATTCACAAGCCCCAACATGATTTCAAGCCACAGTTTCATGTCTTCCTTCAGGAAGGATGCCCCAAGCCCCACATCAGCGTGCACCCCTGCTGTAGAGCTGCAGTGTCTTCATCCCCCCTTCATTCCCCATTGAGGTTGGACTTGATGATCTCATAGGTCCCTTCCAACCACTGAGATTCTGTGATTCTCCCAAGGGCTTGAAGCACCCAAGGTCTGCAGGAGACCGAGAAGCACAAAGCAAGTGACACAAATTACCCTCCAGGACAGGGGGTCATCATCACACCATGGAAATGAGAACAGTTTAACTCAAGAGCCAAATCCATCACGGGCAGCTCAATGTCCCCATGACCCACCTTGTGCCACCTCCACCCTCACCCAAGAGGCACCAAGAGGTGACAAGAGGCCACCAGCTCCCCCCGAGCTCTTCCCTGCCCCACCTGCCCCCCCCAGGCAATTATCCAAGAGGCACTAATGCAAGTGGGCAACCAAGCGACGCGTGGTGGGGCCTCAGAGGTGTGGGCAGGGCATGGAGAGATGGGGAGGGGGAGGATGCTGTACTTACCCCCGCGGCAAAGCCCAAGCTCCCATCTAGGATCCGCCTCTGGAAAAAAAACAAACACAAAAACAAAACAAAAAAAGAAACAAAACACACCATTTACTCCCAGAAGCAGCGGGGTGAAGCCACACCACAAACCCCACGGAGCAGGGAAAGCAGAAGAAAAGTAACTGTCTCCTCCCCATCTCTGCAACCCAAAGGGATTTCTGTGCTTTGGGGCTCCTCAGACCCACCCTCCTGGGGTGATGGCCCCCTTCACCATCACCACGAGCCCATCCTGGCTCCCTCCACACACCCACACCCTGGATGGGGCTCAGCCAATGTCCCCACCAAACCTCTCCCAGGATGCGGAGAGTAAACCCAAAACCCTCCCCACTGCCCTGCGTTTCCCCCCCCTCCCTGGAAGGTTTTGATTCTTCTACCAACAGGCTGCTATAAACAAAGCCACGACTCTCCCAGAAACCCAGCACCATCCTGCCCACTTCACTCACTCCCAGCCCAGTTTTAGCTCTTCAGCACGTGGCCCTCCCCCAGGAGGAAGGGAACCAACGTTGCTGCTGAGCAGGGAATCTCACTTCGCAACAACAAACTCCTGAATAAATCATCACAAGAGAGAGGCATAAATAATAAATTCATCCGGGCACTTCGGAACGCAACGGCAAAAGGGGATGTCTAATTTTTGGAAGACAGGATGACTTAACCAGCAGTATTTTGCTCGTTCTGAGCTGGGGCTGACCCGATCCCTGCTCCAGAGAGACCGAGGTGACTGAGAGGAACCTGCTGTCCCAAAAGCAGAGCCCTGCCTGCAGCTCTGCCCCGGGATTGTGCTACAGCACATACCACAGCCCAGGCTCAGGAATTTGATTTCCTTCTCCTCTTCTGTGTCCCCACAGGGGGAGAGAAATGAGCTGGATTTATCCTCCTCCTGCCCCGGGACCTCCCGGGGTCAACAGCAAGTCCCTCAGGTGTGGGACCAAGGCCAAACCCACCCCTGAGCAGAGCCCAGCCCTCACCCTGGACCCCCTTTTTGTCCCCTGGGGATGGGGGACGTGATGCCAGCACCCACCTGCCCACTGGAGAACACGAACACCAGCGCCGAGCCCGCCGCCGTCAGCCCCCAGGTGAGGAAGGTCCCCAGCACTGACTGGAGCACCGGCCCGTGCCCCGGGATCATGCTGGCCTAGGAGAGAGGAGCTGCATCAGGAGAAGCCCCCGGTGCTTAAAAACAGAGAATAACCCCCCCAAAATCCCTCATGGCAGGGGGGGACGACACATGACCCTCCTCACCAAAGGGGACTCTGCAGTTTAATCCGAGCTCTGAGGAGGAGAAGGGATGGGGAAGGGATGGGGAAGGGATGGGGAAGGGATGGGGAAGGGATGGGACACACCAAGTCCCACCCAGGGCACGGGTGATTTTGCGCTGATTTTGCAAAGAAACCCAAAGAAACGGTGACTCAAACCCCCACTGAGCAAGAGGCCACCGGGTCCCAGGCAGTTCCCACACACACGCGTCACGTCCCACTTCTCGGTGACACTTATTTTGCCTGAAAACCCCATTTCTCTCGTGTTGAAGGCAAACGCCCCCACAGCACCTGGCTGGGGCCACCCGGGGACCAAGAGAAAAGGTGAAAGAAGCCCAGGAAGAGGCACCAAACCCCGGGTCGGGGCTGTGCCCGGGGGGTGCCCGGGGCAGGGAGAGGGGGGTCCTGGGCAGGGGGTTAGTGGGGGCGGCCCGGGGACCCCCACTACCATGAAAATATGCATGAATAGGCAGATAAACATATTAAAATACAGGTGTATGTACACGTTTACATATCAATATGTAAAAATACATTTTTATTTATACACGTAACCCAAATACACACACATTTACACACAAACACACCAGGAACACACACACCACTGCCCTTCTTCCCCCCCCCAGCCCCTCCCGGGGCCCG